GCTCCAACTCCTCTCTCGCCTCGTCATATTCCCCTGCTGGAATCTTCCACTCCCCTGCTGGAATCTGCCCCCCAGCTTGCTCACAAGCCCCCTTCCCTGCTCTCGCTTGTGCGTCCCACTGCAGTAGCCCCTTGCCTTTCTCCTGGTCACTCCAAATCATAGTGCTCTTGCAAAGGGTAGGCCTCCCTGGGGCACTGCGTGGACTCTGGTCTCCCAGTCAGTCACTACCTTGTATTTATCTTGAAATTTCCTTTTCATGTATTTGCATCAATTCTTCAGGCAGGTGTATTTCCCTTAGAGAAGAGGACCCGTGCTTTGTTCTCACTGTGAAGCCCTCATAGTGCCTGCACATAGTAATTGATACACACATATTAATTTTGCTACATCTCTGCCTTCCACTCGGAACTTGTCTGGACCCTTGGTCTCCTCGGAAGGATTGAGTGATGACGTCTTGTTTTCTCTCCCCACTTCTTCTGTTTGTTTAGTGGGTGATCATCGAACAGGGATGTTTTGCTTATTCAATGGTGGTTGTTCCTCTCTATGATACCCTTGGATCCGAAGCAATCACCTACATAGTTAACAAAGGTACGCCTGTGGTCTCTGGGTGGACGTCGGCCTTGTCTTCAGTTAGATTTGGTGACTTTACATTTGCTTGTATTTGACTTTTTGAGGGTTTTATTTTTTAAAAGATCTATTTATTTATGCATACAAGAACTGAGGTACAGGCCAGAGGTGTGGGGAGGGGAGACAATCCACTAGAGACAGAGCGGGAGCAGAACAGTTAGATCTGTTGAAGTACACTGCTGAGAGGAGCAGCGGGCGAGACAGGAGAGGTCTGCAGCACCATGTGGGTCAGCTCCCTGGGTGGGAATCAAACTCGTCTTCAGTGGCAATGTGCTTTAACCCCTTGTGCCACCAGGAAGGACCCTGTTTGGGTCTTTATATTTAAATGTATATTTATCTACCTTTAATACACGAATTGTAGTGCTTAACCCAGCCTGCTGTGATAAGTTCAAGCATTTAATATCCCAACACTTACTTTTCATTGTCTTTCTTTGTTTTCAGCTGAACTTTCTCTGGTTTTTGTTGACAAGCCAGAGAAGGCCATACTCTTATTAGAAGGGGTAGAAAATAAGTTAACACCGGGCCTTAAAAGCATAGTTATCATGGACTCCTACAGCAGTGATTTGTTTGAACGAGGCAAGAAGTGCGGGGTAGAAATCACCAGCTTGAAGGCGATGGAGGTGAGTTCTTCTGCCCTGCCTCCTCTCTGGAGGCTTCCCCTGAGGTTGCTGCAGCTCAGGTGTGGTATTCTGAGCCTCCAGCCTTCCAAACTCTGGCCGGCCAGGTCAGTGACCCCATGACAGAGTGCAAAAATACTTGTCGCGCTACCAGAAAGATAAATTCTACATGCGTGCCCAGGGCAAAGCATCACATCTTGCAGAAACTGCTCTCCAAAAGGGATTTGCAATGCTTGAGTTCTTACCCTAGAGCACTGAGCAGCCATGCCAACAAGGGCCAGAACGTGCATTTCAGACAGGTGATTCTAGATTGTTCTCTTTAGCTTTTGGAAAGTCCTCATGAATTTCCAGCATAGATGTTTGATTTGGCTAATTTTCATATTAAATTTCTTGAGATTTGTATCAGTCACAACTATAAAATGACCCTGAGTGTGGTCTCTGTTGACACCAGTGGTGTTTGATAGCCGGTCACATAGAAAGCTGATTTGTCCTAGTTGGACACAGGTCAGCATGTCGGTAAACAGAAGCTGGTCGGGGAGGATCCCGCCACACACACATCACAGAAGTCACGGGCTAAACAGCGTAAGTCATTCTTGTTCTGCAAATGTTAGAAATATTTTCCCGGACCTGTTATAAATAGAGTTTTAACATTTATTTATAGTTCTCCTTCTCCAAAGTATTTGAGGCTCCAAGTAAGGATCTATGAAACCTGTCCTGGGAAACGTGGTAGCCTAGGAAAACCATCTTTTGTTTTATTGGTTAAACCTTCTGCCTCGTGTCCACGCTCACATGCTCAAGTGCCTGGGCCTGCATACACGCTCACATGATTCCTTGAGAGCTCACTAGTCGCTCCAGTCTTAAATTGCATTTTTAGCCAGCTTTTTACCTAGCTTTCCCCCACTTTTATTTTCTTAGTTGAAAGCCCCATTATCCCATCTTTTCTCTTCCTCTCTACCATCCTGTGACCCCTTGTTCTTCCCCCCAATGCATACAGGAATTTTGTCTTTTTTAATGGCTCTTTGTTAAAGACCTGTAGCTGACCCTTGAACATGAGCTTGAATTGCAGAGGTCCATTTGGATGTGGATTGTTTTCAGTGTGGTGCTGTAAATGTCTCCTCAACAGTTTCTCTAGCTCTATTGTAAGAATGTGGGAAGTAAGATGTATGTGACATATGAAATATATGTTGATCAACTGTTTACATTATTGGTAAGGCTTCCAGTCAACAGCAGACTATTAGTAGTTAAGTTTGGGGAGAGTCAAAAACTAAGTGTGATTTTTGACTGAGGTGGAGGGGAGAGGGTCGGCACCCAGTCACCTCCACATCGTTCAAGGGACAAGTATAATTTAAAAATTACTAGATGAACCAATGACTGAAGACTGTTAGATAAAGCTTTTACTAAAATCTTTATGTATAAAAGGCATTATAAATTTATATTTAACTTGCCTCTTTAATGTGATTTACATTTGATCTTAAAAAATTTTACAAGCAAAAGATAAAGTTCTTCAGAAATGAATCTAAATTTGCATCATGGTTGACCATGTGACCATGTTTATATTACTGTACATTTTTATAAGCTCAAAAGTAGAAAATTGGTATCTGAATTTTTGCATTTTTCCCAATGGTATGAAAATTTGCAGATATGCAAAAATGCTGCTGGACTTGTACAGTAGACTGCTTTATACTCACCGAAAGCCCACAGTAAAGCTCTAAATATATTTGCAGAAATGAATCTGTGTTTCGTTACCTTCCCATTCATTCAAACAGTGGCTTAGATATTCTGTTGTGGCCTGTTGTATAGCTGGGTGTTCCAAAATCCCCAATCCTACTCCACGTGGGGAGTACAAGTAGTTGAGCTCTCCAAACATTTAATCTGGCAGAGATTAATTTTTCTCCTCAAATTGAAGACATCAGTTATGCAGTACTGGGCAACCCGACAATAGATCTGTATCTGACTTTGGGAAGGGTGCCCCACTGTTCTTGGGGTATGATTAAGAACTAGGCTTTGCTAAAGGAAAAGAAAAAGGGACAAGAAAGACGAGGGGGGAAAACCCTCTTTCAAAGGCTACAGGCAGCAGGTCCATGGAGAAACGCAGCGTCACTAATAGGGAAATGCATATCAAAACCACATGAGAGACGGCTCCCACCTTCTAAAATTGCTGTTATCAAAAAAATAAAATCACTACTATTGGTGAGGGTGTGCGGAAAAGGGAGCCCTTGTATGCTTTTGGTGGGAATGAACCAAAATTAAATGTAAACGTGGCCACTATGAAAAACAGATCCGAGGCTCCTCAAAAAGTTAAACATTTTTTTAAAATGTTAAAGTTAAAATTACAACTACCATGTGATCCCGAAAAAATGAAAACATCACATTAAAAAGATAGCTGCATGCCCACGCCCTTTGCAGTATTATTTACAATAGTCAGGCTAGGGAAATAACCCAAGTATCCATTGATGGGTGACCAGATGAAGACACACACACACGGACTATTACTCAGTCATCAAGAATAATGAAATGTTGCCATTTTGGCAATATGGATGGACTTAAGGGCATTATTCTAAGCGAAATAAGTCCGAGGAAGACAAACACCATATGATCTCAGAGAACAGTTGCTGAACCATTTATAAAGGCTTACATCAGAAAGAAGACAATGGGAAATTATTTTGTAGAATAATGGATAAATTTCTTCATTAAGGATAATTCAGCTTGCCATAGTTTGCTTAATTTGAAGTTTATGTTACATTTGAACCAGCTGTGAGTGAATCCTGCGGTAAAGTTAACTTTAAGTAACTTAATATGACCTTATTCTTTATATTTACAAGATGTCTGCATTTAACCTTTTTTCTCTTTTAATTAAGGACCTGGGGAGAGCCAACAGACGGAAGCCCAAGGTAAGAACACCATGTCAGACCATGCCACAGCCCTCCACGTGGTCTCTCAAGCCATTTTGGGACTAGTAAAAATCTTGGGTGATCTCTTATGGCTCATAGTTTTCTGACCTACAACACCCACTTTTTTTTTTTAATGTGCTATAGCCTCCAGCACCTGAAGATCTTGCAGTAATTTGTTTCACAAGTGGAACTACAGGTATGTTTTGAAAGGGAATTGTTTGTAAGTGGTATCTGGAAATGTGTTCTTTCTGCCCCCTTTTTGGGTGACTGATTTGAACTAACGACGGCCTGAAAGTGGAAGAGAGGGGAGTGGTTCAAGCCCTTGCTCTTGTCGCTCCATGAGACCATCTTAGACTCTGAGGGCACCACTTTTCTCAAACATTTATTGACTGGTGACATCACACCATCTTCCAGGTATAAACTCAGTAGGTGGCGTTTAGAAATCCCATTCTATTTCTCTCCTTGCTCTACGTACCCACTGCAACTTGCTCATATTCATAAAGATAGTTTAAGATAATGAGTTTCGTTTAAAGAATTGCAGTTTGCTCAGGCACTTAATGTTACTCAACATTTGACTTGCATGGGTGTACCTTGCTTTAGAGGTATTTGAGGCCCTAATTATAGGGTTTCTGGACTTCCTTCATGTCTCTCATTCTTAGATTGACTTTCTGAATAGTAGTAAGTCCTCATGTAATGTTGTTATTAGGTCCTTAGAAGCTATGCCTTTAAGTACAAACAGTCTGCACCAAAAGCAGGTCCTCCGAAATGTCACTTCATACATGTCAACCAGAATTCTTTCCTTCTCATCAAGTGTTATAACAAAACCACCTTGAACAAAATAACATTGCTCAAGGAGCAGCTGCCTTCTAACCTATTCCTGGTTCCTGTGTGTTCTTCAGGTAACCCCAAAGGAGCACTGATCACTCACCGAAATATAATAAGTGATTGTTCAGCTTTTGTGAAAGTGACAGAGGTAAACTTTTGGGACATCGCCATCTTTCTTTAGATCCGTGTGTTGGCACTAGGCCTCCAGCATGAACGTGGTAAAGGCAGCACCGTGCTGCGAGGGGTGGCTGTCGTGGGGACACATCTGGAATACTGATAAGGTCTGACCTCTGAAATGGGCTAGCGTCACCTTCTCTCAAGCAGTTTCCAAAGTGAGCCTCTCTCCAACTGCTGTTTGTGCCCTTGAAGGTAAATTGAGAGAGAGAGTTTGTTGTAACTTTTGTAGCAGGTAACTTTATGTAGATACTAGCCAAGAAATGTTTCCAGGAAAGAACAGAGAAGAAATGACTTTCTTGCGCTTTATTCTGCTATTCCAGCCTGGAATCATTATTATTTCCTTTATGGTGGTCAGTTTGAGTTCTGTTTTATGAGCAGGACTAAAGCTTTGAAAACTTCCATTGATTTCCTATAATCTTAGGCAACTACACTCAGTAAGTGCTTTTGAAAAGAGGCACCTACTAAATGTCTTTCCCTCAGACTGTTTCCACATTTTACATAATTTGCTCTTGCAGCCTCTTGGGAATATTCTGGAACCCTAATTTTTGTGGCAGAAGCCTGTGCTTAATGGTTTTGGGGAATGGGCATCTTTGGTGGCTACAGAAGGTTGATCTCCCTTTCATTTACACTCATACTTTCTTAGTCTCAAAAACCTTTTTTGGGGGTGTGTACTTTCTAAACTAAGCTCAACATTTAGTACCTATACTAAAGTGAAATTGTAATTACCTATTGGCCTTTAATAAAAACTGAAAATCATAGTGGTTCACGAGGCCTCAAGAATGATTTGCTAATGATTACAAAACTGTGTTTTAAGTTACCAACCAGGGGCATTCTCGGCTTTGTAAAACTTCTAATCCTGCTGATGGACATGTTTTTGGCTGAATCAGAAAACCGAAACGTGTCGATATCATTGAGTTTGATTTCTCATATGAAAATGTCATGCTAAAAAATGCTGGTTGGAAAACGCAGGCCACACTCTCCCAGACAAGGGCCCTGGTGTTTTCCCGGACTGGCGCTCTTACCCATGACCACATTACTAGATACGGGGGGAGGGAGGGGCAGGACTGAGTTCAGAAGTGGGTACAGGCAGAAAGTCTTTACGTGAGTCACATAAACGCTTCGGGCAAGCCCGTCCCCCTGCACCTGTGAAGCCCGTTCTGAAGTATGAACTGGAAACCAGTATGCACGCCAGGTGCGGCCCTGCACGACCGGCACTTTACAGGGGCGAATCCCCTGTGGTGGATCAGAGCTGGCTTAAAATAAAGGGAGGCATCACTACTCACTGCCGGGGGTGAAGTTGGGGGTTAAGATAAAACTGTTGGACAAGCTAAAAAAACACTCAAGATACATTTGTACTGCGCATAAAAGAAACTTGGAAACCGAGAGTCTCTTTTCCACCTTCGCCTTTACCACGTAATACGCTATCTTGGAATGGATCTTACATTGCTGCAACAGAATGTGCTATCTTGTGTTGGAATAAGGCTTGTAGGTCTTACCTTCAGGTGGAATTGAGCTTGCTGGGTAGTGGGTACTATAATTTTGAAATACTAAGTGATTAGAGCACATGATCCCTTAACATACCAATTTGAGCACAATTACCTGATTTTGACTGAAGTCCCACAATTGGATTTCACGCTGTCGTTCGAAATGACACCCCACTCTCTTTCAAAAATTAAAGTAATAGAATACTTAAATATTTCTGGGTTGCCTTTCATTTCGCTCTTTGGTGAGAAATAATTGCAGCTCATGAGCAAAAGCCGTTTCATCTCCATGTTGAGGTATTATGTGCTCTCGGGTAAAACGCAACATGACTGGAAATCTTAATGCCTTTCTGCTTTGCTGGTGTCTTTGCTTACAGAATACAGTCAATCCTTCCCCAGATGATACTCTGATATCTTTCTTGCCTCTGGCCCATATGTTTGAGAGAGTTGTAGAGGTAGGCATTGAGTTTTGTTTTGCTTGCTCAATTGTTTGTGTTCTGCTAAGTTGTTGTGTTTTACAGAAAGTACTTATCGTGAATGCCAGTGACACACACATTTCATTTTTGCCACTGGCACACATGTTTGAGCAGCTCATGGTGGTAAGTGTCACGCACAGACTGTCACTCTATAGAAGATTCTTTGGTCTCACTTTCGTAATAGTACGAATTACTTAAAGAAATAGAGTTGCTTGGTTTTTTTCTGGGTCTGAAAACTCAAATTTTAATCCCTTCAAAATTATAAGCTTATGTTTTTGAAGGCCACTCATGTGCACATGATTCCAGAAAGCTTAAATGTAAAAGTAGAAATTTTATGAATTCCATCCTACCAAACCTAATGAGACTTCTGCTCTAAGGAGTTTCTCTTCTTTTTTAAGGGAGATAGCCTTCATTTATAACACTCCCTAAGCTTCAGTGTACAGCTTCATACCTCGACAGGGGCTGTTCCTGGAAAGCTTGTGTTTTTCATGTGCTTGCTCCTGAGGTACATGTGGGCCCAAGACTAATCTTTTACCAGTATTCTAGAGCTCTTCGAAAGCAGAATGATCTCCAGCTATCAGTACACAACTGTGTGGCTAATTTTAAAAAATGACCAACAATTTTCTTTTTCCCTCCTGGACCTTTGGGACTATATACGTGCAGGATAAGTAGCAGGCGCCATTCAGCCAGTTAACAGATGTTTGCTGCACACCAGCTGTGTAACAGGCAGGGTGCAGGGTGTGGGAGGGAGAGGCGACTCTGGGAAGCCTTCCCTGTGATTGGCTGCTGCCCCTGGGATTCACCCTAAAGAATCAAGACTCGTTAGATTCCATCTTCTACTCATTATGGGTGCTTTCTGTCCACCTCAGGAGATCTTGTGAGTTTACAAAGTGATCTCATGTACCAAACTGTGATTTCATCTGTGCCTGGGAAGCAAGCCATTGAACAAAAACCCGTCTGAGCTTTTGTTTTTAAACAGTGAGCAGTGGGTGCCTTTCTGGTGGTTTCTGCTTTCAGGTCTGAGACCATCAGGTACTTCTGTTTGCATCAAATGGAATCTCTCCTCTTTAAAATTTAAAGCAGGCTGGCTCAGCCCCTTGCTGTGGAATGCTAGTGAAGTTTGCAGTTGACAGGAAAAACTGAGCTGTGGACTCCTGCTGGATGGCAGGTGGCTGTGATACTAGACCCCACTGTCCACACTGAATCCTGGGGGTGGCTTTTCAGAGACCTTTAGTTAGCGTCAAATAAAGAAAATGAAATTTGAGTAAGCTTGGATTGTAGGGAAATAGCTGAGTTTTTGTTTTGAGTGTAAATTAGATCTAAAGTTTCTGCTAGGCTAAAAACATTTGGGTTATCTAATACTATGTTATTCATTCAATGGTGTTTATTCTGACATTAAAATAACAGAACCTCTAAGATGATCATTAAAAACAACATTCCCAATTTTCTTTCTAAGCCCTTTATCTGCAGGGTGCTCAAGATAAAAATCCTCATTCCCAAAGAGTGCAAAAGTGCTTTTCAAGAATGACCCATATTTCGGGAATGTAAGGCATTTAGGAACTGGTTGAAATGTTAACCCTAAAGCCTTATGGGGGCTTGGGTGTCGTGTAACCCCTGCTGTGATGATAAAAATGCTGCTGACTTTCCCTCCCTAGTGTGTGATGCTGTGTCACGGAGCTAAAATAGGATTTTTCCAAGGAGATATCAGGCTGCTAATGGATGACCTCAAGGTGCTTCAACCCACCATCTTCCCTGTGGTCCCGAGGCTGCTCAATCGGATGTTCGACCGAGTAAGTCCACGACGCGGAGCTGGAGGCCCGCGGGGCTCTGGGCTTTGCGTCCGAGGCTTGGGTCTGGACAGGGCTCAACAGGTGCCTTCTGTGCACGGTGGGTATGAGTTCAGTCTTGCAAAACTGCCCTTCACTCACCTGTAAAGTCAGGCTAAGTTCACCGTTGGTGAAGATTATAAAACACATGCTCACGCTTTGTAAACCAGAAGGCACACTGTGGCTATAAAATGGAAGTAAGCTCTTTGAACCTCTGCTTTTTTCATCTCTGCATGGGTGATTGCCGCCTCCCCGTTTTCTGTCTCCTAAAGTTGCAAATTGCATCACGTGAACAGAGTAACTCGGAAATGGTTTCACTGGTTGTAAAGCGCCGGGCACATGTAAAACACTTAGGCACTTCGAGTGACTGAGCCACAGAGCACGCCCGTCTCTGGCGGCCCACCGCAGCTCGGGCGAGATGGCTGTGGCAGTGGGCGGCGGAGCCTCCAGAATGTGATTGGGCACTTGCAGGGCTCTTTATTGTAAGGCAGGGCTCTTGTCATCTGCGAGGGCCTTTGCCTTTTTTTAATGATGCTTCAGAAAACAAAATTGAAAAGCAGCTTTATTGACACACAATTCCCATACGAGGCATTTCACCCATTCAAATGCTACGATTCAAAGTTTGTAGGTAGATTCTCGGAGTTTTGCCCCCATCACCACAGTTCATTTTTGCACACTTGATCCCTTCAAAAAGAAGCCCTCCACGCCCTCCTCCATGCCCTCTCCAGCACACCCCAGCCTCCACTTAGCAAAAACTAATCTACTTTCTGAAGGTCTAGATTTCCTGGTTGTGGACTTTCACGTCCCTGGAACACAGCAGCATGTGTTCTTGTGTGACTGCTTCTTATACTCTGTGTGTTGTCACGGTTCACGTCATAGTACATATCTGAACTTCATTCCTTTTAATGGCCAAAAAAGTAACATCACTCTATAGATGTCACTGTTTTATTTGTTCATTTATCCACTGGTGGACGTTTGGGTTGTTTCCCCTTTGGGAACCACTGCGATTAGCCTCGTCCCGGTTTCTGTGTGAGATTGTGTGTCCATTTTTCTCGGGTCCGTGCCTCGCATGCAATTGCTGCTTCTAGCCCATTTGCCGGGGCAGCTGCACCATGCTGCCTCCCCGCCGGCAGGGTCGAGGCTGCCACCTTTACCAGTTTTCGTACCTGATTTTAGCCATCCCACGGAGCATGAGGCCTTCTTGTTTATTGACTTTTTAGATTTTCTCACAAGCAAACACCACACTGAAGCGATGGCTTTTGGACTTTGCATCCAAGCGAAAAGAAGCAGAGCTTCGCAGTGGCATCATCAGAAACAACAGCCTGTGGGATAAACTCATCTTCCACAAAATACAGGTAGCTGCAGACTCATGCTATTATTTCTCATGTAAACCTAATTTGTGAAGGTGAGGGAGAGAATGTATGTTTTTACTAATCCTGACAATGCTTCTAAAAGTCAAGGACGAAACTATTAGGTAGACCTCAGTATTCAAGATAAATCTGAACAATATCGTAACTATTTGGGGGTTGGGGAGGAATGCGGGTATTATAGCCTTCCTAGTTCTCCATTTTGTTACACCCTTCTAGATCAAGCATGTTCCTCTTGAAGTAAGTTTTAGGCATGAATATAAGTTTTAAGCATAAATGATAATGTGTCAAAAAAAAAATACCGAAAGTGTGGTAGTTGCAAATCTGGCTTGAATTCCTTGAAATACGGCAAGTCCTCGGTGTGGGCCTGCACCTTGCTCCCTGCTGAAAGCGGGGTGGGGGTGTGGCAGCGCACATCTGCAGAGAGGCACGACAGCAGTTCGGGGCCATGTGCAGTGCACTAAACCAATGTTACCCTAACTTTAGAAAAGTTAAAAAAAAAGTGAGTGGAGTAGTTTTGGGTGGAAACAGCTGGTAGGAGTCTTCCCCCCAGTCAGTGAGCTCCTTGCCTTCTGCGGAGGGGAAGCCGGTGGCTCCAGACACAGGCATCTGTGAGGTGCCCGCCGCCTGCGACCTCCCTCTCCCCCTTTGTCTCTCAGTCGAGCATGGGAGGAAAAGTCCGGTTGATGATCACCGGAGCAGCGCCCGTGTCCGCCACTGTGCTCACCTTCCTGAGAACTGCGCTCGGCTGTCAGGTGAGGAGGCTTGCGGCAGCTCCTGTCTGGATCTTGTCACACCCAGCAATCTTCTTTCCAAAGCCATTTGTATTCTCTTTGCATGCACTTTATTTTTGCTTCGGGGATTCGCTATTTTGTGGGTCACTTGGAGAAATAAGTATAAATGTGTGTGTTTACATTTCATATAAAAGATACAGCTTAGGGCCCTCCCTGGTAGCGCAGTGGGTTAAAGCACAGCACTAAGAAGCTTAAGCCACTTCTGCATGAGTTCGATTCCCGCCTGCCCCGGAGGTGACCACATGGCATAGCAGACCTCTCCCGACCCGCTCGCTGGTCCCCTCAGCAGTGTACTTCATCTACTTGCCTGTTATATTCCCCACTCTGTCTCCAGTGAAACCTCTTGCCGCCCCTGCGCCTCTGGCCTGTACCCCAGTTCTGTATGCACAAATAAATAAATCTTAAAAAAAAGATACAGCTTAATGGGGTTCCTCTAAAATTACATGTGTATACATGGCTTTTACCTGGGGCAGGAGAATAGGTGTCTGTGACACAAAGCCTGCCTTCCTGCCATGACACAAAGCCTGCCTTCCTGGTGTAGTACAGCATGCAGGAATGGATCATAGGGGTGAGCCAGCCTGCACACCAGGCAGAGACGGTCTTACAGGCGGCGAGAGGCAGCAGCAACCCCCAGCACCAAGAATGTGGGCCGAGAGCGAGGGCGCCTGCCAGGTGTGTCCTGCACAGCCAGGCCCAACCTACCCAGTCAGGGTTCTCCCTGGTTTGTCCCCAGGAAATTAAGTAGAAAGTGAACGTGCACTGTGCTGGTGTTCAGGGGGAGGATGAAGAAGTCTGGGTGCTGTGGGGAAGCTTGTAGAATTAAGCATATTACTAAGTAAAGCTGGAGAAGAGGTTTCACCGCAGCCAGCCACCAATGCAGCAGCCAGAGGAATGATACTGCTCCAGCACATGTGTGACTTTCTCCCTTTCACGTTGTTTCCTCTCTTGGTAACCCAGTTCTATGAAGGCTACGGACAGACGGAGTGTACTGCGGGCTGCTGCCTGACCATGCCCGGAGACTGGACAGCAGGTACGACATGCAGGATGTTCCTCCTGCTGCGGCCTCAGCTTTGAGCTGGAATTAGTGGGCTTGGGTTCCTCACCGGTTGGGTCATTGACCCAATGGAAACAGGAGCTGGGTCTCCAGCAATCAGGCCTGGAGGCCACCAACCCTGTGTATCCCTGAGCCGCGTGGAGCACATCACCTGTGGCAAAGGGGTGTGATTTTGAGTACCTGACTGTAGATCTGGGTGGCACAGAGATTTCCCCGGATCCTGAAGGTGACCTCCAAGAGAAGATGCCTTGTCAACCAGCTTCAGAATGTTCTGCCCAATGGTTTCCCAATAATGCATTGGGTTCTTGTTTTCTGCTGGTAGGTTTTGGTTAGACTCACACTGTGTGCTGTGCTGGGTGTGGCAACGACAGAGAAATGAACACAAGTCCTTTTTCATGAAAGAAGACAGGAGGGGGGCAAACAAATGATTGACTGTCACAGAAGAGGTCCTGCAGTAGTGCTTAAGATGTGGAAAACATATCTCATCCCTACTAAGTCCTGTGCGATGAGCCGTTTCCTCCAGATGAAACAATCAGTTGTTGGTTAAATAGCATGTAAATAATGTCTAAGGATTTACCCAGCACTATGCTTTATTGCCAGCATTTGGCCTAGTCTCACTGCGAAGCTGTGCGCTTCCCCCCTCACTGGTGGCTCGTCCATCTGCACTGAGCCACACACAGTTGATGTACTGTGAATAGGGCGTAGCCAGTTGCTGGAGCTGCTGGGACTGGCCCACCTGCATCATGGTCTTTGTTTTATCTTTGACCCATGGATCTCACCACCTAGAGAATTTGGAATAGTGATCTTTCTCAGCTAGAACTATGAACACATGGGAAGAATTATTTGCATTGCTCTTAAAAGCTAGCTAATTTGTCTTATTTTTGGTTTGAAAAAAACCTAGTCTTCACACCCTTTGGCAGGAGAATTAGTTGAAAAAGCAACATACTATCTTTAAAAAAAAAAAAAAGATTATGCGTACAGAACCGGGATATAGGGCAATGGTGCTTAGGCAGGCAGTAAAAGGATTCAGCAGACAGAGCGGGGAGCAGAACAGGCAGATCGACGAAGTACACTGCTGAGGGGAGCAGCGGGCGGGTCAGGAGAGGTCTGCCGCGCCATGTGGGTCACCCCCCTCGGAGGGGATTGAACTCACACCGAAGCCGCTGCAGTTAGCTTTGCAGTGCTGGCATCCTAACCCATTGCACCACCAGGGAGGACCCAGCACTGTACTCTCTTGATAAACTTAAATGCTGATAAGAATCAGATGGTGTGTAAGAGCGTAATCAAAGTTTCCAAGTGTTAGAGGATTTTTGTCTTCCCACAGAGAACAGGGACATCTAAGAGTCCTGGGTTGGCGGGAAGGGCGGCAAATCTTCGACAGAGGCCATCGGTTCTGGGAGCCAGATAGCAGTTTCAGAAGCTTGTTTCCTGGTGTTTGTGGAGACCCTTTAAATCAGCAGCCAAATTACTTATACCCTGAAAAACCTTTTGGCTCATCACACTTGAGAAGGTCTCTAAAAGATTTTCGAATATTTTCATCTCTATTTTAGGAATAAACTCCCTAAATTAATGTCCCAGGGGAGATGGGCTATGATCATAGAAGCCAGACATTGACACTAGCTGTTCTCACTATAAGCAGGCTTGTGTGTTATAAAAATAATTGGGGGCCCTCCCTGGTGGCGCAGTGGGTTAAAGCACAGCCTGAGAAGATAAAGCCACCTCCACAAGAGTTTGATTCCCCGCCTGCCCTGGAGGTGATCCACATGGCGTGGCAGACCTCTCCTGACCGGCCCACTGCTCCCCTCAGCAGTATACTTTGTTGATCTGCCTGTTCTGCTCACCACCTTGTGTCTGGTGAATCCTCTCACCACCCCTGCACCTCTGGCCTGTACCCCAGCTCTGTATGCATAAATAAATAAATCTTTAAAAAAAATAATTGGGCCTAAGAATATTAGTAGTCCCCTTTAAAATGATCAGCTTTTCATTTGCTCACAGGTCACGTTGGTGCCCCTATGCCTTGCAATATTATAAAACTGGTTGATGTGGAAGAAATGAATTACATGGCAGCCAAGGGCGAGGGCGAGGTGAGTGGCACCCCGTGAGTCACCCACCCTCACTGCCTTTCCACTAGGGCTGCTCCCAACCCCGCCGTGGGAAGCCATCAAGCTTGATTTTGTGGGTGATGCTGGAGCCCAGCAGACCTCTGTGAAGGTGCATTTCTGTGTAGCAGCCAGGGCCACGTGGAGGACCACAGACACTGCTGCCTTCCCAAACATTCCAGAGCTGGGGCCATGAGCTCACAACGGCTCCAGTGGCCTCAGTCCTGGGACACGGCTCCCACCTGCTAATCGCCCTGTTGCCTGTTAGTGGGCTACTGGCTAGTGAAGGAAAGCTTAATGACTTGAAAGTGATTTCATCCTCTGTGGGCTCTCTGCAACCTGGAGCCGGAACCCAGGGCAGGCACCCGGTCAGACAACACAGTGGCAGTGAGGTCATTAATAATGGGAAGTGGGGCATTGGAGGTACCTTTTAGATCCCACTGGGCTCCCGCAGCTTCCTGTGGATCAGGGAAAGGGGGCTTCTCGCGAAAGGTTGGGATATGCACGTTTTCTTCGGCAAAGCCCTGGTAGTGCTGTTAAGACATTATGTGTTTTGCTGCAGGTGTGTGTGAAAGGGCCAAACGTGTTTCAAGGCTACTTGAAGGACCCTGCAAAGACAGCGGAAGCTCTGGATAAAGATGGCTGGCTACACACAGGGGACATAGGAAAATGGTTACCAGTGAGTGGTCACCTCCTCTGTGCATAAACACCTGTTCTCCTGCAGGAAAGAAAATGCCCTGTTTGCTGCCCTGTGGAGTGGCGGCCTCACATCTCTCTTTCCCCTTCTTGTGGGGTAGCAGCTGCAGGCACCCCCAGTTTCTGCAGGAATCAGATTTACAATCCTAACATACTTGCTGTTGATGGTCACTTAAACTACAGTCAATCTGGTGTGTTTTGATGCTTGACATCAATTCTGGTTGCTGCTTCCTGCTGGAAACGTAGAGAGACTATGGCTCTTACATCTTAAAGGGGAGGCCTTAGTTAAACAAGGTGGAGGCAGTGTGGAAAATGGCCAGACATGTCAGATGGGCAAGAATTTGTGCACACATCTGTTTCCTTGGTTTATAATCTCACTAAGAATAAGGTAAGTGTTTCATGGCTAAGACCAGCTCCTCTGAATTTAGTCTGAGAAACCTGGACTGTAGAGAACTTCTAGTCAGAGTAAAAATTTGTGTCAGAAGCCTCAGCTATCCTGCCAGTTGGTCTGACCTTTTGGCTTGCTGTGGTAACAACCACTACTTTTCCTAAGTCATTACCAGGCTTAATTGCAAGCGCTGACATTTCTCAGGTGGTTTTTATTCTTGTGTATTTTCAGTTTCTTGTAGATTGAAGGTGCTTGATAGTCTGAAATTTTTACTGATTTGGAAAGTGCTCCCCCAAATTAATTCAGATTTCGGAGTAACCAAGCTATTTAGAAATAAAATCCCTCTTCTAGGTTCAAGAGGGATAAGTCTGAGTTTGATTCTGGTAACACATCTCAGAGTCTCAGCAGGTCCATCTGCTCCTTTTGAAAATGGAAGTGAACTGAATGAACAAACCTCATGAACTTCCCTGCATGTGACTTTTGGAAACTGGAGAGTCGCCCGGGGTGGGGTTGGGTAGAATAATCGGAGTTTAGTTGCCATTGGCCCTTGGCTGGTCTGGCCCAGGGATGCCAGCGTCCCTCAGTTATTAGATGTGTGTTGGGGTGGGAAGAGTCAATCCTGAGCAAAGGCCCAAAGCACCCTCCTCTCAACAAGAGTCTAGGAGGCGGGGAGTCTGCCCTTCTGCAGTCAGCTCAGGGAGCCATTGCTCATTGCCGAGCTCTGAGGCATGGTCAGTCTGTGCCTGCTGTCAAGGAACTCGACTCCTTTGGAGACGTAATGTCTGTAGGACATTCAGGTAGGAAACTCCTGAAGCTTGTTGCTAAGCTAAAGGCAGCAAGCCAAGTGCTGCTGGCTGATGATAACAAGAGGCAGCTCAAGTGGCTCTGAGTCCCTTCACGCTCTCTTCTCCACAAGCTGCTTAATCTAGTCTTGGTTTCCCTCAGTCAAGTGGGATCTAATGACTGACCCCGGGAGATACGAGGCTTAAGTGATAGTGCATCTCAGTTGCCCTATAGCTGTGCGTGGTACTGGGTGAAACCAGCGTGGGCCCACCCACAGCCCCGCCCCTCTGATCAACAGAATGGCACCTTGAAGATTATCGACAGGAAAAAGCACATATTTAAACTGGCACAAGGAGAATACATAGCACCTGAGAAGATTGAAAATATCTACCAGCGAAGTGAACCTGTTGCTCAGGTGTTTGTCCATGGCGAGAGCTTGCAGGTATGTGCTGTGTGAGCTGCTGATGTGGTGAAGAAGAGTTTGCTGGGCTTTTAGTGGCACATGAGTAGATTCTGCTCCTTGGCATTTCTTTCCAGAATAGTTGTTTCTCTTTAATTTCCATGTTTTTATTTTACCTAGAGTAGACCGGTACAGAGGGAAATAGTATAAAAATAGAGAGTGGACAAAATGTGCTTCTGATTTAAATATGAGGTGCGGTACTGATAGCTGGAATCTAAGAAAGTGTGAAGTTTTCAAACATATTAAAGCCAACTTTGTACTGTGCATCCTAAACCCGTCTGAGCAATGGTGGTTGTGAGCCAAATGTGCTTCAAGCTGAAGACCAGGGTCAAAACGGCAATGAAACATCTATTTGTGAAAATATGGGACAGGTGGTCAGTAGCAAGGCAGAGAAGGGGTCTAGTTTTCTAGACATTATTGGCAAATTTGTAATTTTAGAAGGTGGTTTTTTATTTTCTAAGAATACACCTGTTTTTCTTTAACCTGGAATCTTGCCATAAGTTTCATTTTATTTAGTGTTTCCTCTTGAAAAATAAATAAATGTGGAAAATGGATTCAGTTTTATTGTTACTAAGTTGTAGAATGAGGTATTAGATAATTTTTTTTAATGAATCTGTAAATTTTCTGTCTTTTTGAGGCACTTATCTGGTATCTATCACCTTACATGGTTATTTAAACCCTGTTTTATAAGTTAGAAGTATACATAAAGTAAATAAAAATCAGGGTTTTGTTTAATTTTGTTGACCAGTAGTGATTCTCCAAAGATACTTATTGCAAAATTTGGATACTGTTTGTTTTATAGCCAGTTCTTAACCTGGACTCAGGCATCTTTGAAAGCCAGTAACATTTTCTGAAGAGTCTAAAACCCTCATGAGATTCTCCAGGGGTCTATGGTGTAGAGCATAAAAAATCACTATTTTAGTGCATCTGCTCACACCATGTCATAACTCACTTGTCTGTGTCAAAGGCATTTCTTGTAGCCATCGTGGTGCCAGATGTTGAGACGTTACGTCCTTGGGCCCAAAAGAAAGGATTTAGTGGAACCTTTGAAGAGCTGTGCAGAAACAAGGTAAGGCAAGGAGGTCTGGACCTGTCTGTATCTCCACATTTGGGGCTTTGGGTGTACCTGCGGCCGCCTCCAGCAGCAGAAACAGGTCATTTTTCTTACTTTACCAGGATGTCAAAAAAGCTATCTTAGAAGACTTAGTGAAACTTGGAAAAGAAGCTGGCCTAAAGCCATTTGAACAGGTGAGATTCATCAGAGTGCATGAATTCCTATAAAAGACTTGAAGTTTTTTTATGAATGGATTTTTCAAGATGATTAAATATGTGAGGAAGGGACATTTGTAAACCAGTGACCTGAGTTCCTTTTCCCTGGAGACCAGAGTACAGTCCTGAATTCTAGTCTGAGAACAGGCCCCCAGCCCCACTGAGAGGTGCGGCTGGGTCCATGGGGAGGGACAGGCAGGGTCCCGTGAAGGGTCTTCCCTGGAGCTGAGTGCCAGTTAGACACAGATGCATCTATGCTCATTCCTTTTTTTTCTCTCTAAAGATTTATCTATGTGTATAAGAACTGAGGTACAGGCCAGAGGCATGGGGGGTAAGGGGCGAGAGGATTCACCAGAGACAGAGTGGGGAGCAGAACAGGCAGATGTACTGAAATGCAGTGCTGAGAGGAACAGCAGGTGGGTCAGGAGAGGTCTGCTGTGCCATGTGGGTCAGCTCCCTGAGCAGGGATCAAATTCATGCTGTAGTGGTTGTGGACAGCGTCACTAGTGCTGCACTTTAACCCGTTGTGCCACCAGGGCGGTCCCCTTTCCCTTTTTTAACACCTTGTGTGTTTGCAGATCAAAGGCATCGCCCTGCATCCCGAGTTATTTTCTATTGAAAATGGCCTCTTGACACCAACAATGAAGGCCAAAAGGCCAGAGCTTCGGAATTACTTCAGGTCACAGATAGATGAACTCTATACCACCATCAAAGTCTAATGTGAGGAAGGAAGCTCGGGAGAAACCACCCACCTCCACAGTCTTCTGCTGATGGCCTTCAAGTTGGTAACTTTGACGACAGCGTGTGTAGGGAAGGAAATGCCCATGTCTGAACTGTCCATTCGAGGTTCTTGTAGGAATTAGAGGAAAACGGAACACTGCCTTACAGTCACCTCACATTGCAGACCATGTACCTGGTGATAGACAACTTCCAAAATGAGCCTTAAAATTTGTCAAGGAGAAACTATAAATGTGCTAAGTTATTTGAGACTTCTTCAGTTTAAAAGGCTGGTGTTGAAACTTCTGTCTCCCTGTCTTTCTAACCAAGGGGTTAGAACTTATCTATTTCTGACGTGTCTGCTACTTGCTGCGAAGTCTGCAGTTGTCTGCTGCTGTCAAGAGTACAATGCACTGGAGGAAAACTGTCCCCTAAAAGCAAGAACAGCTGTCCCAGCTGGAGAATATCACCAGAGGACCAGAGATTTTCTCATTGATCCCTGCCACCTCCCCTTCCCCATCTCACACGCACTCACAGTCCTTTCAGTAAAGGGTTCTGAAGCTCATATTGTTCGCTGTGGAGTGTAAGGTGCTCTGTGAAGCGAAGGAAGAAAGACCCAGCTCAGAGGCGTCTCAGGTGAACAAACAGCTGTTCTCCACGCAAATGAGTTCAAGCTCACGCCGAGTGACCCCAGACCCTCCTCACAACCTGATCCCCCCTGCTGTTCCTTCCTAGGGGTTTGTTTAAAAATCTGCCTTAGACTCTACAGTGAAGACAAGCATTTCAAGCGGGAATTAATCGCCGGGATCCACCATCTCCGTGGTGACGCCTAAGTCGTGGTCCACTTTCTCTCCACTGTGCCACCTGTCCCTGTTGGCCACGGCCAATGGGTTTTTAACGTGGTTTTCATACCAAAAGATCCTGTTATGATTCACTGGCTTTTCCCCCAGAATAAACTCTCATGTCTTTAAAAAACAGGAAGGCAGTAGGGACACTTGGATACTTACGGCAATGGACAGTAATAAACATAAGCTCGCCTACCACAAAGCTGCCTGATTTCTGTGAAATGTATTTGCGAAGCCAAAATTCTAGGATGTAGATAGAAATCTGGAGAACTCATTATCTGGGATAAACTCAAGGGGTTTTTAAGGTTAATTTGGGAAATTAGCAGCATTTCACTTTACCGCAAATCTTGGCCACACATGACTGAATTAAGTAGTCATTTCTACATTGAAAGCAAGTGTTTTTGGATGTGAGAGTACATGGATTCTACAAGCACAACTGGGTTTGCACTAAGAAATTGTCACTGTCATAACACTATCTGGTAGCCGAACTTCCTATGTTGGTTCTTAATTGCACAAAAAGTCGATAATTTTGTCACATGGGGTTTTGAGTGTTTGCTTTAAGTGTTGGCTCTTTCTATGTTTTATAAACCAAAACAATTTCCAAAAACAATGAAGGAAACCAAAATAAATATTTCTGCATTTCAAGTGGGTGAAGCCTTTCTTTCTGTGCTGGGGGCAACTTTTGCTGTCCCCTAGTGAGAGCGGGGCTCGCTCAGACTTTCTGATGCCGAGCTGGGCCTCGGGCCCTGGCCTCTGGCCTCTGTCCCACTGAGTGATGGAGAAGAAAATCACAGCATGGATGATGTGGGTATTCTTGGAAACTCCAGTTCTTTTCTAGAAAGCTACATTGGCTGTAGTTAATGGTTCTGTGGTGAATTTAACTCTGTCTTGTTTTGGTAATTCTTTTAGAGCTCGGCTCTTTTAGATGGTATCTCACTCATAACAGCTGACTTTTTCCTTTCCTCTGTTGCTCCTTTAAGCCGTCCTTTTAAAGATGTGCTCTTTCATAATTGACAACCCCCAGTTCCTTAGCTAACCTGTTGTGTTTGTCATGCCACCTCCTTCCGCCCTGAAATTCTGTGTGAGGTGATTTTGTGTTCTTCCTGTAAAGCATAGCCCGGTAATAACATGGTATTGGTACCCTGTCCTCTCTGGTCAGGCTGCTGATGCATTTGCCCTTTTATCTGCAGAGACTTCTCTTGCCTGTTGCCTTTTCTCTCCCCCCCTCTTCTTCCCTACCAGAAGCTGAAATCTGAACCTCCTTCACCCTCACTCAGCACAAACACAGGACTTAGCACCTAGTCGTGTGGGAAGTAAATCTCATTTAAACATATACTTGAAATCTTGAACAAAACTGCTCTTTTAATCTGGTTGATCTAAGGACTGTTTTGTTTTCACCTTTTTTTTTTTTTAAGATTTATTTTATTTATTCACACAGAACTGGGGTATAGGCCAGAGATGCAGAGGGTGAGAGGATTCACCAGAGACAGAGCAGGGAGCAGAACAGGCAGATCGACGAAGTACACTGCTGAGGGGAGCTGCGGGCGGGTCAGGAGAGGTCTGCCGCGCCATGTGGTCACCTCTGGGGCAGGCGGGGATCGAACTCATGCGAAAGTGGCTTAAGCTTCTTTGTGTTGTGCTTTAACCTTCTGCGCCACCAGGGAGGGCCCTGTTTTCACCTTTTTTTAAAAGTTGCGGGTAGCAAAGTGTGCTGTGTTAGCCCTCGCAGTGTAGACGCTCAGTGGCGAGATGGCGAGGTCATCAGCATCGCCACCAGCTGCTGCTCTTGCACAAAGGGAAGTACCTGCATTAAGCAGGAGCTCTTGCACCCCCCCCCCCAGCTCCCTATCCTCCCCCCCCCCCCCAGCCGCCCAGCAGTCCCCTTCTACTTTTCTGCCTCTATGACTTTGGCTACTCTGGGAGCCTCATGTAAGTGGATTATACAGTATTTATATTTTTGCAACTGGCTTATTTTACTTACCATCATCCCCATGAAGCTCATCCATGTCGTAGGAGTTCTCAGAATTTCCTCCTTGAATAATACTATTCATTCTCTTGAATGAGTACTAATTTCCTTGTATGATTATAGCCCACTGGTTTATCTATTCATTTGTTGATGGGCATTTAAGTTCTTCTCACCTCTCAGTTATTGAGAATCACACCTGTAACAACAATGGTTTACAGATAGCTCAGTGCCAGCTTTCAGTACTAGCCAGATGGGAGTCCCTGAGTCCTAGAGTAATCCTGAACCCTCTGAGCTCAGCCCTCCCTGCACACTCCAGCTGTGACACACCCTCATTCTAGATCTAAGCGCAGAAAAGCAGTTTGTTTTCAAGTGTATTCAGCATCTGCTAGTTAAATATTTTGCTCTATTCTCTATTTTTAGATGACTTGGAATAATACTAATAACTTGCCACATGCCAGGCTTAGCATTTTACAGAGATGACCCATTTATGTTTACAGCCCTCTTGAGTGAAATTGTCATCATCCCTGTTCTGCCCATGAGGAACTTGAAGCACATAAGAACTCCTTCAGTGTCACATACGTGGGCAGAATGGGGGTGGGAGAGTCTGACCCTCGCCGTATGATTCTTCTTGCCCGTCTTGGTTGTGAATGTGCTGACACGTCGCTGGACTGTTCTTGCTGCCAGCAGTTTTCACCTGGAAGCTTCAGCATAAATGATTTGATTCCTGCCTTGGTGTTCTTTGTCCTAGCAGGAGAGGCTAATGCCACATCACAGAGCCTTATTCTAGTTTTATGGCTCCTCAGATAGTACATACAGTTCCTCTTCTGTGAGGCTGGCAAACCAGATCCAGCAAGGACCCAAATGTTTGGTGGAATCAACCGCGCTCTTTTTGGAAGCAAATATGCATAAAGCTGCATCACCGACATCACTGGCTTATGAGTTCCCCTAGAAGTTCTAGAAATTAGCACTCTGGAAGTAAGGAGAGCTGTGGGCATTGTGGTTTTGCTGTGGTCAGCACACTGCCTTGTTGTTTACTGACGTTCTCATTTAACTGTCAAAAAACTTCCACGAGGCTAGTGATCACTCCACAGTTCTGTGTTGGCCATGAGCTAAGTGCCAGGTGCGGTCGGAAGCTGCAGGGCACAGCAGTGAGCAGACAAGACCCTTACCCCCCTCCTGCAGACAAAAGTCCATGTGTAAGTTACTATCAGTAATTCAACCCCCACTTCTGCCTTTGGCTGAATTCATGCATACAGAACTCGTGAAGAATATCCCCAAGCAGTTCAACTGAGGTTTGTTTAAAGGTCAACTGGATACCCGTTTGCCGTTAAGCCATGTCCCAGAGGTGGGGAGGTTAAGCCATGGCCTCTGAGATTTCTCCTTTGTATTTTCATCCCTATTCCCAGTGATGGTTTCTCTTCACAGCATCATAAGCAGAAGAGAAGCCTCCCCAGGTATGCGCATGGAGCAGATGGACAGAGAACAGAAGGCCTTGGAGGTGAGGTTGGCTGTGGGTCTATTAGACCCAGCAGGTCCAGAACATTTCTCCACCCCTCAGCCTGTGCCTTCTCTGTATTGATTGTGGAAGACTCCAAAGACCAAGTCTTCAGAGCCCAGAGACCATGCCTCCGACAGCTCAGCTCAGCTCAGCAGACTGGCACCAGTCCTGAGAAATCACAGCTCCAGTTTAGCTGGCCCCCAAGGGCACATGCTGCCCACACCCCACTGTCCGTCCACCAAGGCTTTCTAGACTAGGTGTCCAGCTCTTGTGTTCCTATCAAACTCACTTCTCCCTTAACATGGGTAGTTGGGAAAGGCACCCACCTTCCTTATTATCTACATATTTGGCATAAAAAGAATCTAGATTTTGCATTTTGACTGTGAACTCTTCCACTGTTGAGTAGCTCAAATGGTAGAAGGCTAGATGAACGCCACAGCTTCTGGTACAGAGGGATTCAGCTCTTGGCTGGAAGCAGGGTTTTGTTTCTTCTACAAATATATTTTGCATGTAAGTTCTTATGTATTCTCTTTTGTTGAGATGTTTTCATGGGGAAGGGAAAAGGTTTAGGCTGTCAAATTTCACTTCACAGAAATTGCCCTGCTAAAGACTAAGGCTCCTGCACTTGCCCTAAAAGAACTCTCGGCAGGCTTTCTGTTCTGCACAGGGCTAGTCGGGGTGGAGGTGAGTGAGAGCAGAGTGTGCAGGGCAGGGAGGCACCAGGGGATGGGGCACGGGCAGGGTGTAGTCAAACAAGTTTGCTCACATTCTGCGTTAGGTAACCAGAGCAGAGACAGAGCAAACCCAGAGCAAGACTGAGTCTTGCTTTCCCACACCCACTGATAATGCCTTCCCCACCCTGCCATCTCCTGCCAGCTCAGCCCCACCAAGTCTGAGTTGTCAGTGGGCCTTGCATTTGGGAGACTCCAGGGCCACCTCAGTGTCCACTTCCTCCTGTGGCTTTCTCCTGTCATCGATCGCTGTCCACTTCGCTCCCTCCCTCATTCTTTCTACACAATAGAGTGGCACCCATCTCTTGCCAGGACAGTCACACCCACCTCTTAAGTGTCCTTGTCTCCTATATTGGGCCCTGCTAACCCACTCTCTCACCACTTCACAACTAGAATGGTTTTCAGAAGCACCACTCATATCTCATGATACCGGGGCCTAGTCTTTTAGAGGTTTTCCTGCTGCTTTGAAGTCTGATCTGCTTCATGCATCTGAGGGTGTCCTCAACTTTGCTGGTATCAGATCCTTTGAGCATCTTAAAAAGCAGATTTGGAATCAATCCAGCTTAAAGTGGTGCCATTGCTGTTGGCCCATGCAGGGCTGGGGGCCCTGCGTGTCAGCCTAGCCTCACCTTTTGTTACCACCCACCTCTGTTCCAGCCACACCCTGACATGTTCTAGAGCCCAGAATGCACCCTGCTCGTGCTCTCCCCCGGGCCTCTGCATGTGCTCTGGTGCTAGAGCAGTCTTTTCCTGGCGGAGCTAACTCCTACTCCTTTGTTTAGTCAGATCCTGGTGTCACTTCCTTCAGAAGCCTTCTTTGATTCTTGAAGTCCAGAAGACAAGATTTGAACATATTTGTGGCTTCGGGTGTTGTGAGTTGAAGGGGAAGAGTGGTAAGGACCTTTTTATGCTAAATGACAAGGTCAAAGGGTGAGTGATCTCGTCTGTGAGGTATGGGCCTTCACCCAGAGACTGGGGCGCTGTCTCCCAGAGACAAGCTGGAAGGGTTTTGTGTCCCCTGGGGTGTGACAGGGAAGCCTCTGACCCAGGCTTCCCTGTAGGTGACGGGATGGAAGCTTTGCTCCCACTGTACTACTCCTGTCTGAGCGGCAAGGATACCCCCAGTGTTGCTATGAACTCTGAACAAGCTCAGCCTCACACGTGTGTGTGGCTGTTCAGGCCACTCAAAGGTAGCGTCAGTGTGAGAAAGAGAAGAATGAAAACATCTTTTTAAACTTTTTTTAATTTATTTGTGCATACAGAACTGGGATACAGGCCAGAGGCTCAGGGGCGGTGAGAGGCTTCACCCCAGAGACAGAGTGGGGAGCAGAACAGGCAGATTGCCGAAGTGCACTGCTGAGGGGAGCAGCGGGCGGGTCAGGAGAGGTCTGCCGCGCCATGTGGATCACCTCCGGGGCAGGCGGGGATCGAACTCGTGGATGTG